TTTTTTTTTTTTTTTTTTTTAAGACTGAGACAGCTGTTTCTATGTAGAAAAATTAATATATACAGTAAAATAACAAAAAGGTAAATTTATGTTGCCCCCTTGTGGCAGAATGAGCTACTGCAACTTCACTTCCCCCCCTCATTTTCACAAAATCCAATCAGTCCTCTTGTCCTATAAACTGCAATGTTCTTTGATGTGGTTATGTAGTTTATAGTGTTAGCGGTTAAGGTCTGAAGAACAAACCTTACGATCATTACATCCAGATGTAATAGACATTGTTTCTATCAAACATAAGAGCTTTTGAAGACAAAACATTTTCTTTGTAAAATGAAAAAAAGGGCTAAATGATTGCATTTTATCTTTGAATTAATGGAGTGATGCTAGATTAAGACTGTGTAATATCACTTTAAGTTTACCATAATGATACCTGGTTTATGTTAAACAAATAATTCACCCAAAATCATTTACTCACCCTCACGTTGTTCCAAACATGTTTGATTTACTTTCTTCTGTGGAAAACAAAAGGCATAATTCTGAAGACAGAGGACAAAAAAAAAACCATAAAAAGTAATTCATACAACTTGTCCACTCTGTCCATGGAAAATCTTGATATCACCCATAGCTTGCCTCAATAATTAAAGTTTATGAGAAGTAGCCATGCCCAAAATTGTGGATAATTAGTATTTTTGTTGGAACTTTTAAATTAGTCTTTTGATCCGGTTCACAATATCGGCCTTGATGATTCAAAGAATCAGATCGATGTAGTTCTTGAGTTCAACTAAGTGACTCAGTGACTCAATGATCAAATCAGTCTATCAGTGAATAATGACTTAAATTTCACGTCAACTATTCCATGAAAGGATAATGGCAGTACAGCTTTCAGCAGATTTAGCAGAATAAAGTCATTCTCAACAATGCTTTCTAATTTTCATTTCCAGGACGTTAAACCTGGAGATGTTCTGCAGAAAAAGAACATGTGGGAAATTATTGGAGAAGGTTCTGCAGCTGAGAGGCCGGGACTGGGAGGAAAGGTAAATATTCAGATAAGAAATGTACTGATAAACCTCAAAATGATAAATATAGGTTGAGAATGAATCTCTTACTGAATGCCTCTCATGCTATTTCTTCTACTCAACTTTTATATTTGTAGGCCTCCTCCTCGGGTAAACGATGCAAGTTTGTTGTGACAGGCCATGGGAAGTACGAGAAGATTTGATGGTGATCATTACGGTGTCTACCCGAATGAAAAATCAAGTGAGACGCTTTCTTCTATTTTACATAACATATACCTAATTTAAAGCTAACAATAAAAATATGATTCTGTAAATAAAAATGCCTCCCCAAAAACACAATGGGAACATGAACACATGCCTTTTTACAGACTAGCGGAGGCGTGCTAGGTAATGTTATCTAATATTAACTAGCTATCAGGCTAGTAAAAAACTAGCTACGTAGCAAGCTAGCTAAGATTAGTTTTAAAATGTTGAATTAGAGCATAAAATACGCTTACATTATTTCTAGTGCCTTATGGGATGACTTCCATTTCCTCATAAGTACACACTGACACTAATGTACTTTTTTTTAATGAGAGTCCTAAAAACTCATCTCACTAAATAAATGTCATTGTTCTAATTCAAAATGTTGTTGAAATAAGAATATTGCATAAAAACGTTATGTCTCAAGTAAACTTTGGAGAGGTAATATAATTCATTTTAAAATAGGCTATATCTGAAAACACTTGAAAATTATTTTACCTTTTGAAATCTTGCAGTCTGCAGGGTTTTCATATGCCTGTTTGATAATATATTGATACTATATCTCAAACAAATCACAGCAAGCTGCTAACACAATGCAAATGTTTTCATTCAATGGCATGAAAGTAGTCATACAAAATATCCTCTCTCAAAACAGGTATTTTATTAAAAAAAATATATAAAATAACATTAAATCTAGTACAGTGCACCTTAGAATGCCAAGCAATTATACACATCAACATCAGTAAAGAGAAAATGTTCTCAGTCTGATGGTTTCTGCAATAAAAGACCAACATGCAAAAAAAGCCAAGCCCACGTACTTAACATTACCTGTAATGAGAACATGCATGAGTTGACAATCAGCATTCGCTGTTATGTATTTAATCACATTGAAGCAACCATTTACTGTATATTTAAGGTTTGGAAAGCTCCATCAGTGAAAGCTCTTTGTCAACACTGAGCACCAAGTAGGGCAGCAGAGCAGAGTGCGCCATTCCTTGCTTTCAGTACTAATAAGGCTTAGTACACATTTCCAAAACTTAGCATACTTACTGTATACATCTTGTTCTTATACTATCTCTTAATTCTTCCGGATTTTACCAGTTCCACTTGCCCACCCATCTAAAACTCACACTCAATTGTCCCTACACCTTCAAAAACATACAATAGCAATTTGTCCCTCAACACCATGTCATCTTGTATAATAGCATATCCTCACAAAGACTTTTTACGCCCCATTAAGTACCATAGAATACTGGCTGTAGAAAAATATTGCTAAGAAAAAGGTGTTGTGTATTTTATTGTAATGTTAAAAAAGAATACAGTGAGGTAACTTAAAATTTTAGATGCCTAAACCCTGCATATATTTGACATTTTCTTACCCAATAATACTCTCTTGATTTTGTGTCTTGTGGCAGGCTGGAGTGAAAATACTTATTTTTTATAAAAATTATTGAAATTATCTTTTTTTTTTTTGATGATGATGAAAATGTTCAGGGATGTAAGTAATATCAAAATATTACCATATTTAACATGCTTATGAAAAATGTTGACATAAGCTTTGAAAGTCTTAAGCAATAAAGTCTTTAATTTAAAAGCTTCAAAACGATATGATTTTCTTTTCTTTATTCAATATTCTAATTAGCTTAAATGGTTAATGCCAGTTGACAAGTGGGCAATACCTACTGCAAATAAGATATTGTGCATTTGACAGATCTCTTTTTTTTAGTTTACTTGCCAATTGACCTGTTATAAAGTTATAAAAGTATATGTAAAGAATTGGACTGGATAATAAACAGAACTCTACCATCGCAATGAAAGCTAACAATATCCTTGCCCATTATTTCTATGTTATTCAGTTAGACGCCAGTGGTTTAAGAAATACTGAAGCCTTTGGCTGTTCTATTAAAGTCTTTTGGTTCTTCGTCTTTATTTTTGCGGCCTATGAGTCCCATTTCAAAAACTGTTGCAATCTTTGTTGCTGGTCGCGAAGCTGCCTCTCTTAGTCGTCTGGCATCAAACCGCGGACTGTACAGGAGAACTGGCAAACAATGCGCAAATGTGGGAATCTCTTCTGACATTTTCTGTTCTGCCTCCATCTTCTTTTGCTCCTCAGTTTTATTGGCTTCAATTTGTTGCATTATATTCTCTTTGGTGGAGAACATTTGGAAGAGGACAGCATCCCACATTTTTGCTGCCCTTGGGGAGTCTTTACTATACTCGCTCTCACTAGACTTAGCTTCGGCTTCAGACTTATTTTGCACTTCACTTACATTTTGATCAGTGCTGGCAGGGATGTATTTCTTTGATGCAGACTCTGCCTCTGGAAAATTGGGCTCCTCTGCTTCAACCACCATGTGTTTCTTAAGGCGAGACCAGCCACTGAGTTTTGACTTCATGCCTTTTGGTTTCTGCATCACCTTCAAGAGAGGCTCTGCAGTCAGGGAGGAGCCTTCCTCACCCTCTTCCTTCTTTTCCACTGCAGGCTTGATCTCCTGTTGTGGACTAGATTTTGCCTTCACTCTGTCAACCTTTTCAGGTTCAGTGTCCTTTGTTTTAAGGTCCTTTTGGTCTTCTTTTGGTTTAGCCAGTGGCTTAACCACATCCTTAACCTCTCCTTTATCAGGAGTTTTTTCAGAAGAAGCGACTTCAGGCTTCTGCTTCTTAATTCTCTCTAACAAAGACATTTTTGCCTCTGTTGGCTCCTCTGGTACTTTGGTTGATTTGGCATTAACTTTACCTTCTGACACCTTTGGAAGTGCTGGCTTTCCCACATCTTGGTCAGATAATGGCACAGCCTTACTTTCAGGTTTTGGAGTTTCCTTCACAGTTGGAGGGGTTGGTATCATTTGGGAAAGTCTGGGAGATCCATAGGTTGGAGTTCTGACTCTTGGCGTCACAGTACTTATTGGCTCTGCTTTTGCTTCTGAGGGTGGTGTATCAGCTACAGATACCACAATAGTTGGAATTTTAACATCAGGAATTTTTGCTTTTAATTCCGGCACAGTTGGCTTGGGAATGTCCCTTACAGAGTTTGCTTCTGGCTCAGATGCTGCCTTTGGAACCTCTGGAGGTGGAGCCACCACAGCGGTTTCCTCTTTAACAACACCAGCCTGAGGTGGCTGGACTTCAACCTGCTTGTTAGGCTTTACCTCAGACTTGCCATTCGTCATGGTCACATTTTCATCAGATTGAGGTACTACTGGTTCGTGTTTTGTAAGATGAGTTGCCTCTACACTTGGCAGCACAGTTGATGTCGAAATGCTAAAAGTGGGTGTGCAACTCTTTATTCCTCCATGGGCAACATATTCAGCGGGAGTCAATCCATAATATGTTGGTTTGGATTTAGGTACTGTTGGTGTTTTGGGTCTTTGACCTGCAATTGGAAGGACTTTAGATAAAGGTTTCTGATACCCAACTGAAGATAAACCAGGCTGCGCAGGTTCAATCTTGGGTGTTATTGGAGTTTCAGGCTTTGGCTGCTCATTTGCATTAAGGTTTGAGCTCTCTTTGGGTATTTGGGTCTTTGGCTTTGATGACTCAAGTTTTGACAGGTTTCCTGTGGCCTTATACAGCTTTTCTTGTAAGGGTTCAGGTGATTTGACATCTATGTCCCCATTTTCTAATATTTTTGAATGACTAGTATCATTCACATGATTTGAAATTTTATGTATTTCATCTTGTGGACCAGTCAAACTTGACGTTGGCGTTTTGGATCTTCTGCCCTCCATGTGCACAGGAGATACAGCAAATAAAAGTGGATTTGGTCTTGAAATCTCAGTCACAGATACTCTAACACGTGACACATGATGTGAGGGTGTCTTGGGACGTCCTGAATGTGTTTTTATTGAAGTAAAGTCATATGTTGGTGTTTTTGCTCTTGCTGGTATTGTAACCCCCTTCGTCTCAAATGTTGGAGTTGCACCCCGTTTTGTTTCAGGTGTCGGCATTGCAGTTTTTTTAGTCTCTGAAGATGGAGTACTGACCCTTTTTATTTCAGAAGATGGAATTGTCTCTTTCCTGACTTCAGAAGTTGGAGTTTGGCTTTTCTTAATTTCTGAAGTTGGGGTTGTAATCCTCTTGACTTCAAATGCCATTGTTGTAACCTTTGTGATATCTCTGGTTGGTGTTCTTTCTCTTCTTATTTCAGATGTTGGTGTGACTGTCCTTCTAACCTCAAATGTTGGTGTCGAGGCTCTCAATAAGTCTGCAGTAGGTGTTTTACTCCTTGTTGGTGATGCATGAGGTGTTCTCAAACCTACTGATTTTGCTGTGTAATTGGTGATTTGAGGAACTTCAAACAACGGTTTTGCTGTTCTAGAGACATTCAGCATGGTTGGCTGAGGGCTTGGAGATTTAGAGGTTACATGAGTGGTAAGATTTGAGCTGACTTCCAATCTTTGTGAAGTTTGTAGAATAGTGACTGATGCAGTAGCATGTGTGTCAAGTCCTGGAACTGGTGAGGCGGTGTATGTAAATGCTGGAGACAGGTGTTGGGGAGCCGCATATGGTTGTGGTGGAAACCTTGCCGTCTTGCCAGAAGTGAATCCTCTGTGATGAGGATAAGGAGACGATACATGCTGATACAGTGGTCGGATGTTGAAGCGTGGGTGTACCGTGCCAATGTAGAAAGGTGTCTCTGGAGTCTTGGGAGGTGTTGAGTGATCACTGTGCTCCAGGTCAGGGCTCGCTTCATTTACTGGAGAGAGGCTTGAGCGGAAGGGGACCGATGGTTGTGAGGCCTGGGCTGCAGCTTTTTTCTTTGCTGTCTTCTTGAGTAGTTTCTGGAGCCGGACATTTTCTTTCCCAGGTTTGGGAAGCAAAGGTGGGGGGTACTGCTGGGAAAGCAGGCCTGCCTGAGCAACATTGCCAATATTGACAGCCATTAAATCTTCAGCCCCTGAAAGAAATAAATAGCAGATATTGTGTACTTTTGAGCACAACAATAATGAATAATGATTGTTATGGCTAATAATGGTAAAAAGGTGCAAACCATTCCAAAATTAGGCATTGTAAAATAAATCAGCAAAAAAGCTTTGTTCACTAATATTTTTGTTTTCTTTTTTTCAGGTGAACTTCCCAGTGATCGCTTGTGAGGAATTTAATTCAGCAATAACATCTTTCCTGATTTACCAAGAACAGATATAACAAAGAGTGAAAAATGTAAGGGGGTCTGAATACTTTCCGTACCCACTGTATGTAGTACAATATTTCAGTCAACTTTTCAAAACATAAGGAAGAAACAGTTACACTAAATTGTTACACTAAATTGTATGTGCAAAGGTGCAAACCATTCCAAAATTAGGCATTGTAAAATAAATCAGCAAAAAAGCTTTGTTCACTAATATTTTTGTTTTCTTTTTTTCAGGTGAACTTCCCAGTGATCGCTTGTGAGGAATTTAATTCAGCAATAACATCTTTCCTGATTTACTAAGAACAGATATACATTAACATATATGTAGTACAATATTTCAGTCAACTTTTCAAAACATAAGGAAGAAACAGTTACACTAAATTGTTACACTAAATTGTATGTGCTTTTTTATTTGTATTATTTTATTATGATTGTTCAATTTTTGACTGTTCTAATGGCATGACCTTGGGACGTTTCCCTACAATCTATTTGTCGCATGTAAAAAGCAAACTTATTCTCAGAAATCTGACGAATTGCAACAGACTATAAAGTCTTAGTTTCTTTTTTTCCCCCTCAGTATTTTCTGAAGTATTTGTGCTGAAATTATGCCCACTTCTAACAATGACATTCTGAACTGAATGTGAATGTCAAATAGATCAAATAGTGATGATTTTTGTCAACTGTTTTTATATTGATTATCTATGCTATTTTTATACTATGACACATTGTTACATGTATATAGACTTGAATAGTAGATGAACAGAATATTCCAAAAACATTTCCCAAATTCCTGCAGCTGATTCTTATGCATTTTAAGCCACAAATCATTTTACTGTTATATTTTATTACAAATATGACATTGATTTTCTTGCCTCTCTGCTCTTGTTCTTCATAGATTTGCATAATGCATAATTGACTACACTTTTTGGATTTCAAGAAAACACTGGGATTTTTCCATTTATCATATTTATAATATTAATCTAAACATGTTTGTTTAGTTACAAGCATTGTGCTACCCACTGGTATTGAGAATGGTTAAAACAAGAATGTCATTTGTAGGCCATTACAGCTTTTATTTTCAATAAATTTTATATTTTGTATGATTCTTAATTTAGATTTTGGCTGCTTATTCTCAATGTAAAATGGAAATATCAGAATGGTTTTCACTTGATAAGATGTCTCAGTTATGACATGTTCCCATGCAGTAAACTTCCACAACACATCTAGGATAGCTCATTGGCCTAAGTTAAGGGTGAAAGCAAATGAGCAAGTCATCTGCTCCATGTCACAGAGTGTGGTGCCACTTTCCACCCTCACTGTAAACCAATGCCAAGAGATCTGGGGGCAGTAGCCATAGGTGGGGCAGCTACATAATAAATCACTGAAAATGTACTACCAATCAGATTCAGTGGTTTCTGTTGACGCACAACCTAAGATCATATATCACAGAACTGCTTTTAAGTTTTTCAAACTGTACTGATGCATACTGTATTGATATTTTTACTAAACTACCTTAACACATTGAAATAATTATTATCTTTATGACTGGACTATTCATAAATGATATTCATGAAACACTCATGGACATGTCCTGGCTCATTTATGCAATAATAAAGATAATAATTATATATAAATGTTATTAATTAGTGGGTTTATAATTATTTTTGGAAAAGCATAAATATAAGAATAAATCTAACAAAATGTAGTTATATTTGTGCTTAAAATATATAAGAAAATATAAGAAAAAAAGCCATTGGGGAAAGGAAAACTGCATTCAGTATATATTCTCCTAAAACATGTTTTAGTATGAGAAATTTCTTATTTTAGGAATGTTTAGATATTTGACTACAAAATACAAAAACGGACTACAAATTAAATCCAGTTGACTTAGGAAATACTTTTAAAAGTATGAGATACTGAGCATAATTACTTATTTTGTGTCTGTATAACACAATCTTCTTGCAAAAGTGCAAATGTGGGCCACCTGTAAAAGCTTGTAAAAAAAAGCCTCTAGCCCAGAGTGACACAAAGAAGAACCATATGAGAGGAGGTGGTCCTTTTAAGGCCCTGGTAGGCTGAGCAGTTTGGAGAATTTCCAAGATGCAAGTTCAAAAGAGGAAAGGGCAAGAATAGCAAAGCAGTAAAATCATGCACAGCATAATCGCTTCTTAGCAACCACCTGGTGAAAAAAAAAATCATTGTACATGTAAAAATATGTGTTCTGTGGCGGTATGTACACTTATACGCATGTGCTTAAAAAAGATAACTTACCAAGAGATGATTGTAACAGAAGACAGTTGAAGACACTTCAGACAAGGTCCCCTGTAAATATAAACATGCATGATTTATTATACATGTCCTTGAAAATAAGCAACTGCATTTTAAATATAAAATACCTAAAATATGGTGACATTTAAACAAATATTGGTATTATTAATCTCAGTTTAATACTGTTATTCCATCCTGTTGCACAAATCTGTCAAGTTAGCCTGCAACAAACTGCTGAAGCCTTTTCACAAAGGACAGACATGGCATGCACTTCCACACTAGGCATTCATATAATAATAACCGAAAGACAAAAATATCAAATTTCAAGCAATTTTTTTGTGGTTTTATACCTGTTTGTCTGCTGTTCAGGGGTGTGCGGTGGCTGCCTGCTTGTCCCAGCTTGGACTGTCAGAACGGGAGACTCATGTTGAGTTCAACTATTCCCCTTCCTTCAAATGGAAGGCACAGGCTCCATAGCAGTCCAAAAATAAAACCCTGAGTCTGTTACTCAGAATGCATGGCGAGTGATGACGATGTAGAGTGAACCGTCAGCGAAGCAGGGGGGATCCAGGTCACCTTAGATATCATCAAGTGTCCCCCCTCCCCCATGACACCTGATGCACACACCCTCATCTACACAATCTATAGGCACAATGCCCCCTACAGTTAAGAAGAAGAAGTAGTTGTTTATTTTGGAGCTCTGTTGCGGGCCAACTTTTTAAAGTAGTTCACTTGTTGCTTGCAAGACACTTTCTTCAAATACACCAAACAGGATATTAAACAAGAAAAAATGAGAACAACATTCTTATTTCATGTTGATTGCCAATGTTGCACCTGAACTCTGAGTATAGTTGTAGTGTAAATGAGCACTATGTGTGATTAAACGTAGTTGAAACTTAATCCTGTGAACTGGCTAAATATTTATGGAAGCTTCAGGCAAGAAGTAATGGTTGGAATAAAAAGCCATCTGATCTGATTATACCAAAGAGCTCATGTGTTCATTTACAAACATCAATCTTCGTGGTATATATGATGAAGCTGATATTTACACTTTTTACATTATAAAATAGAAAAGCATGAAACTCATCTAAATGGTATATGCACATAATGTAACTGGTGAAATTCACCAATCTACTGAATGTAAAGTGGTGTAAGAGGTTTTACCAGCTCCTGATTTATGTAAATGTATTATTTACATATTTGATTATACTGTTTATTATAATTAATAATTATGTATTGTTATTGCCAGGCTGGAATTGCTACAATTGGTATATCAATGAATTTACATCAACAACGGAGAATAGAGTTCAGAGTTACTAGGTTGCATCTAATTGTTGAATGCCATTTAAATTCAATTACAGAAATGTATTGCCATATTAGTGACCTATAGACATTTACAATGAAAAAAGGAAACTGTATCTGTATGAAACATTTACACCAGTTGGAGTTACAGTACAACTCATATCATTTCACAAACAGTTTCATATCACTGAGGAGTTCCTAACACAACATGTGTGGACTTGGGAGTGAGCCCTGGGGAACACCCCACAACTTTGTCTGAAGCATTTATCCATCAGCAGTCTTCCCCATGATTGTGTAGCCTAGTGAACCAAACTGAGAGACCATTTTGAAGGCTCAGGAAACCTTTGCAGGTGTTTTGAGTTGATTAGCTGATTGGCATGTCACCATATTCTAATTTGTTGAGATGTGAATTGGTGGGTTTTTGTTAAATGTGAGCCAAAATCATCACAATTAAAAGAACCAAAGACTTAAACTACTTCAGTCTGTGTGCATTGAATTTATTTAATACACTAGTTTCACAATTTGAGTTGAATTACTGAAATAAATGAATTTTTCCACGACATTCTAATTTATTGAGATGCACCTGTATAAAGCCACATAAGAACTTGTGCATCTCCTAATAAAACACAAACTGAAGCAGCACTGCACAGACCATTCTGTGTGACATCAAAGTACAGCGAGAGCGATTAGACAGCATTTAAAATGCTAGTTTTGATGTCAAATAAGTCTTGCTGGTTTGCTTTTTTTGTTAAAGCAGTGTTTCTGTTGTAAAGTTATACAGCTACAGTTGTGTTGCTGGGTTTTAAAGCAGGTTTGATTTTTTTCCCTTTCTTATCACTCTGTATTTACAGGATTTCACTGTCCACTCTGTTCAAATGTGGATGAATGGCTACACATAGATGTGTGCACACACTGTCAGAGCTGTGTGAGATCACTACCATGCTGCTTTTGTGGGGGTGGGTAGGGGTGTTCATTTTCCCCATAGGTTTTTAACATTCTAAAAGCTCTTAATTAAGCTAGTCAGTGTATTCAGTAGGTGTAATGTATTGTAAGTTGCTTCAGAAGTATTGCAAGTATTACGTACAACAATAAAACAGTGCATTGACATAAAAAAAAATGACGTTTACTTTTGGTACTTAAGTACTTTTAAAAGCAAGTACTTCTGTACTTTTACTTAAGTAAAAATCTGTCTTTACAACTTTTACTTGTAATGGAGTAATATTTGACAAGCAGTATCTGTACTTTCACTCAAGTAAAGGAGTTGAGTACTTTGTCCGCATCTGCCGAAGATGAACTGAGGTATTATGGATTTGGAACGACATGAGGGTGAGTAATTAATAACAGCATTTTCATTTTTGGGTGAAGTAACCCTTTAATGTGTTCTTTCTCATATGCCACAATGTTCAGA